AACCTTGCTTACAAAAAGGAATTGAACTCAACAACAATCAATATTTTGAAAAGTCATTTTACCATGATAAAGTTTGAGTTTCAATTAGTGTTGGTTTCCAAAACTAGAGAGTTTCGCAACCGTGCGAAAGTCAAAAGATTCGCCATAAGTTTTGATTTTTGACTATTGACTTTTAATTTTAGTTTTGACTTTCGTCTCTTCAAAATAATTTTGGCGACCAACACTAGTTTCAATCTATCCAATTACAGAGTTATGTAACATCAGGATTTTAGATGCAATAAATGGTACGGTATTTAATTTTTTTGACAAAAATGACGAATTTGATCAAAATACTACTACATCTTAGCAACATACTACTTCTGAAGAATCGATTTTACATGATAAATAACCTTACTCTTGAAAGCTCTTTTATAACAGCAAAATCTTTATTGCAAAGACAAGGTGTATATATATATATAATTCATGTTTTAATAAATTATTTCTAATTGTATAATTATTCTCCAAAAGCAATTGACTGTTCAAAACTCTTATCAAACTTTTGTCTCAAATACATATTCCCTTGGCTAGTTGTGATCAATTACATTACACATCTAATCAATCAGTTAATACGCCTGCTTCAGCAAGTGTATCTGATTTACAAAAACGAAACGAAATACTTGGTCGATTTCTTTTCAGAAGTATACCATAAATTTGCAATTTTAAATTGTTTATTTTATTTTATCTAGTTTAATTTTATTATTTTACAAAAGAACGGCGGAAATGTAAAAAAAAAAATGACAAAATGAATAAATAATACAAGAAAAAGATTTAAGTACATATTATAGAAATATTGTATAAATAGTATACGCTGATGTTATTTTGTATCTAAATAATAAGGCAGCCAAATGGCTTAATAATGTTTTTTGCCCGATAAATCGGATCAATAAATGATTAATTAAAGTGATTATTATTATTCAAGATATTTGAGAGTTCTTAATTTCAAAGAATTGTCAAATTGTGTAAATGTTTGGTATGTTTATCAATTTAAATTGGATAGACGAGATGATTCAGTTGTGATCAATTACATTACACATCTAATCAATCAGTTAATACGCCTGCTTCAGCAAGTGTATCTGATTTACAAAAACGAAACGAAATACTTGGTCGATTTCTTTTCAGAAGTATACCATAAATTTGCAATTTTAAATTGTTTATTTTATTTTATCTAGTTTAATTTTATTATTTTACAAAAGAACGGCGGAAATGTAAAAAAAAAAATGACAAAATGAATAAATAATACAAGAAAAAGATTTAAGTACATATTATAGAAATATTGTATAAATAGTATACGCTGATGTTATTTTGTATCTAAATAATAAGGCAGCCAAATGGCTTAATAATGTTTTTTGCCCGATAAATCGGATCAATAAATGATTAATTAAAGTGATTATTATTATTCAAGATATTTGAGAGATTTCTATTTATATTTTGAATTTTATTAAGATGTCCAGCCAAAACACTATATTCATTCAAAATCTCTGAAAGGTTTTTATTGATGGCGTTTAAAATTAGAATCTTACGATCAATACTCTCACCTAGTACATTATTATTGTTGTTGTTGTTGTTATACGGAAATCTTGAACCAAATTGTGTTTGATCACTTGATTGAGGATTAATCAGTCCATTTCGATGGTGATTATAATAGCTTACTTGAGAATTCGAAGCCGTAAGTTCTCTTTGCTGTTGTGTAGTTTGAGAATGCGGCAGTGATGGCGGATATTGGATCTGCTGTTGTGGTGGTAGTAGTCCGATTGGATATAAATCAAAAGTATTACTAATGTTGTTTTTGTCGTTGTCGTCGTTGTCATTGTCGTCGTTGTTGCTTGGAGTTATTTTCGAATTTGGAAAATGGGCAGCTTGAGAAGACGTGACAAAATTATCAACAATATTATTCATGTTATTCATATTACTCATGTTACTATTAATTGTATTAGCTTGATTATTTTGTTGAGGAGTAATGGGCTCATTCTGATGATGGCTTGGATGAGGATTTAGCGTAAAAAAAGGTTGAGGCTGTTGTGTTTCAACAAATAAATGTTGTCCGTGTAAAAATTGAGAATGTGAAAATTCAGGTTGAGGCGAAAGTAAAAATTGAGAACGAGTTAAAATTACAAAAGGATCATTATTAATATTATTTAAATCGGTAGTCGAAGCATTTCCGCCAGAAGTGTCAATATCAGACGTGTAAGTAGAACGGGTCGAAGCAAAAATATTATTTTTTTGATCATTCATTTTTTGATTAAAAAAAATTTTTTTTTTGAAAAAAAGCAAGAAAGAAGGATTGGTTTATATACGTTTCAGAAAATTGAAAAAATTTTTTTTTAACTTTTTAATAGATCGATTTGTAATTTGAATGAATGTTACTTACTGGACTGATTAGGAAATTAATTATTTGGTTCTTTTCATAATATGCATTTAAAATCATAATAATAAACATTCGAAAATTGCTAAAATAATATTTTTGGTAGGTTCTTAACTTGTATGAAATACGTAAATAATATTCATTATATTATCATACTTATTCAAGAAAATATAATTTTCCGTCATATATAAATTACTCGATTTGACATTATTTTGTTTAAAAAATTCAATAATTTTTATATGGAATAATCGCATGATTTACTTACGTAATTTTATTTCCTATTATTATTATTGTCAACTTTAATTAGCGTTTATTGTATATTATGTAATTCTAAATTGGTAAAGAATTACATCTTTCGAAACTTTTTGTTTAGATGGATTTTAAATGGCTTTTTTAATCAGGTATTTTATCATCAAGGCCACCAGCATGATTATTTCCCTCTTATTATTATTTAATGTTACCCAAGGATCTTTAGATCTCCTCCACGAAAACCACATATATATGAAGGCTAGAAGGCTACTTTTTTGTAAGAGAAAGAAGTTAATTCAGATTTAATGGAGGATGTTCTAAAATATGTAATATTTTCTGGGGCATCAGAATTTGTTCTTCTAACGCGGTTGG